GCTGCTGGTTTCGGCAGGGGTATGTGCATCGAAGGATTGGGGAGATCAAGAACTGTGGGCGTGTTGTACTTTTCGTCAGAGACGTCCCGGACTCTCGCACTCCAAGCCTCGGGCCTGAGGTTGGTTTCGGAGTGTATGGAGGTAGGTGTGTGTGTCTGTGTCTGTGTAACCCGACAACCCTAAACGGCTTTAAGTAAACCCTCGGCCATGGTTCTGTACCGAGGACTCGCATGACCACAGCTACGCCGAGCGGGCCATGGTGAAGTCCGCGGAGAGGGCGGAGACAACGCAGGCGCCTTTCTGGCTTCTTCGAGGGCGATGTGGGCTGCTTGGGGGGTGCGGGGATGTAGGATGGGACGGTAGGCGGGCTTCGAAGGATTCTGCTTGAGGGCTAGGAGGTTCCAGGCTTGATGCCCTTCTTTCGGAGCAGTTCTTTGTCTACAGAAAGCGGCCCATAGAGGCATACCATGCGGGTTTAAGCCCTGAAGCCACCAGGATGAGCTCGGAACTCAGAGCCCTGGTTGCTTGGGCCCTCGATGCTTCTTAGCGGTACTGCTCTTCCTCTAGATGGTACCTAAGACGATTCTCCAACCACAGACAGCCCAAACCATCCGATTCTTGGTCTGGCCAGCGGTATGTTGCCTTTTTTGGTGAGATGCATGCCGCCGAGAGCCCAAAGCCCCCGAGACCCGTCAGCGAAAGAGACATTCCGCGGTCCCAGACTTTGCGGATTCGGTCCCCACCCCAAGGAACTGCCAGAAAACCATACGCGAAGAGGGTGTTGACCATGCAGCCATTAGCTTTGAAATCTTTGAACTCTTAAAATCTCTAAAGAAAGCCGACCTGGAGCAGGTCCGCAAGGCCATCAAGGACATGGGTGACGTGCTTTACAAGAAGCGCCTCTGCGACATTCGGTTTCAAGGCTCATCTCGAAGTTCCGCCCCCCAGGTGAGGAGGGCTTAGGGTTTCAAGGCCGGGTTTGGGCAGAGAATCTCATGAGCTTTTGAGGCACAACTTCATCATGAAGCTGCTGAAAGAGATGCAGCACATCACTCATGAGGCCGGGGGCCGGCCGTTTCTTCCCTTGCACCCTCCTTGAATCAGCTCTGCGACAGCAGGAAGCAGGTAGCTTTATCATTGAAGGCCTTTCGATGCCACATCTCTCAAGTAGCTGATGCTGTGAGGACCATGTTTCTGCGGAGCAGATTCAGCACGCCTTGGAGCAGGCCGCTTCAGGGCAGAAGAGGGGCTAAAGAACTCGGGGGTGAGGTCTTCGGAGCCAGTCTTGCGCTCTACGGTGCTGTTCCAAGCAACTTCGAGGGATTCGCGGCCCAAGATTTCTCAAAGAATCTCGGTGGCGGGGTCCTGTGGGTTCTCTTCAAACCCTCGCATTTAAAATGAACAGCTTTGGGACGTTAAGCTTGCTTCTCGTTTTTTTCTCTGTTGGCCTTGGGATCCTGGCATCCAGGTGGGACATCCATTCCACATCGAGGATGCAGCTCGGCTGTCTTTGGCGCCTAATATAGGAGCCTTAATAATTGCCTGTATTATTTTTGGGGGTTCCGTATTATAATTATGGTATAATATACACCAAAGCCGTATTCAAATTGTTAAGGCCCCTTCATTAGAGACAAACATAAAGCCGTATAGTGCCCTTATGATACCCTTTCACAACATCAATTAAAACGCCTATAGTGATTCTTGTTGGTTTATCCGTCATTCTCCATCATCGTCCAAGTAGCCGAATTGCGAACAGAAGTCCTCGGTGAATTAGAAGGCGTTCTTAGCCCGGGAGGCCGACAACTCGTAGGGCCTATTCTGCATGATGTTCCCTGTCCTTCGATCAAAGCCGAAATGTGGGGAGCTGCCAGGTGCAGCGAGCCATCCTTTACCTGCAGCCGGATGCAGACCTCAGCAACGTCAACTACCGAAGACTTTTCTCGGACGTTTCTCGGACTGGCACTGCAGTTACTCTTCTTCATAAGGACCCTTAGAGGGGTAGAGGGGACAGGGGAACTTGCTTAAATCGGCCTTATTAGGTCCGTACCGTTTTATGGGCATTAAGGCCCCCTGCTACCCCTCCCCTACTTCTTTTAAGGGTCCCTATGACTTCTTGATGTACGGCTGAAGCTACAGTAAGCTTGGTTGGGACGCTGTGCCGGCTCGGTTAGGGATCAGATGCTGCCCTGGGCCTCTCAACCCTCGAAAGGTACAAGTTATTCCGCCTTGGGCTTTCATGGTGGGCTTCAGTTAAAAATCAGCACAGGCATCCTAGGAAGACCAATGTGTGGCATCCACTATCCGATCCGGGGAAGTCATCGAAATTCAGGCTGTCAATGCTCGGGGGTTTCTGGCAATAAGCTTAGATGCGCGGAGTTGCAGGCTTAAGGATTGCTACGGCGGTTGACCGTAAAAGCTTCTGCTACTGCGCTGATCTCAGTGATCTCGCAAGGCTGCAGGCCGCGGGATTTGCCGGCAGATCTCCCGATCTTAACTGCATCTGCTTCGTACTTTGCATCGTTATGGTATGAGGAGAAGAACTCGTACCCAAAATCGAAAACCCTGATCCCCAGACGCCCTCAGGTCGTTACGAGTTATCATGATGTCAGCGCTGCACGGTGAAGCCCGACACCCAGCTGTGAGGGGTGCCGAGGGGGCTGAGGCTCTTCAACTGAAAAGGGGACACGCCTGGCCGAACTGCATAAGCGCCTCCACCCTGAGTTGTTGATTCGGTGTGCTTTAGTTAGGTGCCATAGCATGATCACATATCCCCAACCAGAACACAGCTCAAGCCTTACTTTATTTGATGCCTTGTTCTTGCCCTGCAGCAGTGGTTGCCGAAACTCCGGAACGTGCATGCAAGCTGCAAAGGCCCTGAAGGTAGGTTTAGGTCGGTTCTTCGAGTTCTCTACACCTCTTGGCACGGTTCCCTGGTTTTTTTGCTCTCTCTCTCTCTCACATAGCCTCTAGCTGCATGCTTCCTGCAGTATCCTTGTAGTTTCGCATCCGATCCCTCGATTATCTTATCGTCCGTGACTTTTATGGCATACGCTTGCATACGCCCTATGGTCCGGTTCGGATACGGTGTTGCATTGCCCTGCAACTGCATCGAGCCCTCTGCTCCCAAGGCTCAGTTATGGCAGCGTTGCGGGTGCACAAGCTGTGAAACCACAGGGCTGTGCACTCGGTCCCTCACTCCAAGGAGTGATGCTGAAATTCGTTTCAACACCGAATATCGGAGTTCGCGTCGGTTTCATCGTGCCCTGCTGCCTGCCTGTGATATTCTCATCTGTAGACAGCTCTCACCCAAGGCAGGCAGAGGAGCATGAGCGCAGGTCCCCATGCCAGCCCAGGATCAGGACTTCCATGTGGTTTCTTCACACCAGATTCTTAGAAGAGCTGCAGGGGACCACCGCGGCGGCAATCGCGCTGCGTGAGTTTCACATATGCTGAATTGCATAGCATGGTATTCCTTCTAGTCGGCACCTGCAGACGACTCGGCTGTACTCTACTAACGTCTCCAGTACTCGCAGCCCGAAGACCCCAACTCCCCAGAAGGAGCCTCAATCATGTCTTCGTTGAGGGGCAAAGACTCGGGGATGTGTCCGCAGGTGCATATTCCAACTTGAGATGTCAATGCAAGTGGAAGGCCGAGTTCGAAAAGCTGTGGCCTGTGTGCAGAATTCCCAACAGCAGAGTCTCTACCGCCATGGCTTTGCAGCTCAAAATCCCTTAGGATCTGACCCTAACCCTAAGCCCGAAGCTTCCGTGCGCTCTCCGGCCTGGTAGAAGAGACCCCAGAAACCTGCAGACCCACAGCTTGGACATCTCGAGGTCGACGGTGCGCCAGGATGGTTCCGGTGCCTGGATGCTGAAGGCAATGAGTACTACTACAACGAGGCGGGGTCGGTTGCCGTGTTCTGAGAAGGTTCGCGGGGCATCAAAGCGGGGTTGTTGTGATGTGAGATTCTTGTTGAGATTTCCGTTTCCGTTTCGGCCGCAGTTTGTCAGAAGACTCCGGAACCGAATTAACATGGGACTAGAACGTAGAGCACGCCCGCCACGTTCTGCACCATCTGTGTCGACATTTCTTGCAGACTCCACCTCCACCTTGCCAGTCTGCCAGTCTGCCAGTGCTCGAGGTGACCGGTGAGACGACATGGGATATGCCAGACATGGAGGATAGCTGAGCCTCGCTCTCGCCAGCGATGCGCAAGCTTCAACCTGAGCATCGGGTCCACCCGCAGTGCGCAGATGGGGTTGCTCTGAGTCTTGAGTCTGAGACGCGGGTGAGGACAGATGTCAGCCGCAGCCAAGCCATGATACTTTGGATTGGTTTGGGCATCATGGGCAGGTTCAGAACAACCCCTGTGTCAGTGCAGCCAGCGGTGGACTCCACCAGCGACCAGCCGATGTCGGTACAGGTCCATCCCTGCCACACCTCTGAGGTGGTAGCCGGAACATGCTTCCCGGTAACAGGCCAACCTCATGCCACAGCAGACGCCCGTTTGCACTTGGACATGCGTTGTCCAGCAGCCAGTTGGATGAGGGGCAGCCAGGCAAAACAAATCGACTGAAGTTGCACCTTGCCAGCGCGGAACTCTCTCCGACATTGACCAGTCGATCAGTCGCATTTCGCCTTGCCCGATTTGAGTTCATGGGGCCGTTTGTGCTCGATGCTACCAGAAGTTTCACACTCCACAAACCCGAAACCCCTCAACACCCGGAAGACCTGCACATTTGAAGACCTGCGCATGAGGGCCAAGCGCTGGAGAGAAAGCACCTGCACTATTGCCACCCGTGTGCATCAGCACCAATAGCCTTCCATGCGCGCAATACCAGCATCATGATCATGACCCTTAATTGTCACAAGGTCAGACGTGTTGTGTATATTCTATATCATTATCTGACAGTCTCGTCTGTTTTTGCTGCTTCGGCTGCTCCGATGATGAGTCATTGAGTGCTATCGGTCTTGCGGCCCCTGCGGCCAAGCCGCAGCTATGGCGGACGAAGACCTCATGAAGATGTCCATAAACCCAGGCACTGGTGGGGGTTTGTTAGTCTTAGAGGGGCGTTTTTTGAGGTCCTTAGATTGAGGATCATGCAATTTAGGCGGTTAGGTCGAGCTAGGCGATTGTTTTGCCACTCCTTCCTTACCAGAATGCTTGTCTGTTGCACAGCCGTGGTGTGTCAATCGAAGGGATCACCAGTGGCAACAGTGCTAGTCACAACAGCATGCGAACTCGCAAGAACAACACAAGGAAGATTCACAGCCATCATGGCAATCGCAGCAACAGTCATCTGAACTAGGACGGTAGTGGCAACCATAGTGAGAACACAGTGAGACTTAAGCCGATGGCCTATGGCGATGTAATCGCAACAAGCAGCACAGTCAGTTCTTTCGAAGCGACAGCTGAACCCTTGCTCTTCCTTTTGACCACTGCACGCAGCGACCAGGCGCCTGGGCCGCGGCGCAATTGGATCCGGCGGAAATTTGCATGGACAGTTTCGATGAGACTCGGCGTGATGATGGTGCTGATCATCGCCGCCACCACCACCGCTACCATCACTGCCACCGCCACTGCCGCAAGTAATTAAGGTCCTTCTCATGATCACCATCATCATGATTTCTTACTGCCATCGTCGGCAGATGGTCTTGTTAGGGTCATCATGATATGGAGATGCCCTAAACCCTAAACCCGTCGTGATTCCTCCGTGCCGAGGAGAACACCAGGAAAGCCCTCGAGGCGGATCTGGCGGGTGCCATATGGGCGGTTCTCAAAAGTAGGGTCCCTTTTTGGGTACCCTATATATTAGGTGCCGTATTATGATAAGGACCCAAAAAGGGGCCCTAATTCAACCACCTCTGTGGGCATAAGCAGTTATCAATAAATTGGAGTTTCCGAAAATTAGGGGTACAGTATCTTGGGGCCCTTAGAATAAGGCTCCTACTCCTACTATTTAGGGTACTATATTAGGGTCCTCTATTTTCGGAAACTCCCATATTGTTCCTCATTCATTAAAAACATTGCTAAAATCCACCAAGAAGCCACGATTGAGCTTGTTAAACTAAGGCCCTTACACTCTTTGGGGCTTGGGTTTGGGGTTTGGGAGGAGCTATGTGGTGCCGAACTTTTACCTTCCGTAGTGAGCCGTAGCCTGCGATACCGTACTGTAGGGGCCTTAAAAAAAGAATACGGTTTTGGGGCCCATTGTACTATATTTATACGAAGGAACCACCACAATAGTATTGGTAATTATTTAGGCCCCTGTATTAACCGCCAGAAGACAAAAGCTGACCAGGGCTTCGAGAAAGCCGTGCGACCCGCGGGCCTCGCCGTGACCGGTGCCAGTGGCTGTTGCCTCGGCTACTGCCAGCCGAGCAGCGTTCAGGGATTTAGGCTTTGAGCTTGCGTGAAGGGTTGAAGACATAAAGGGGTTGCGGCGTTTATGGGGCTTGCTTTCCAGGTCTTAGGTAGCCTTTTTTCCCGAGTGGTGTAGAAAGATGCGCGGGAAGTCTTACAGCCTCAGCAGGTGCACTGGCTCTCAAATCCAACTCAAGCCCTTTGACCCTACGCCTCACACCCTCTATCTATCCTCTACCTGAACCCTCGACCACAGTAATCCCAACCCGGCACCCAAACACCCTCAGCACAGCAACGGAACTTCAAGGTGAGGCCATCCGTAGCCGAGCAGAAAAGCTGCTCAAAGTCGAGTGCCGAGTCCTGCCGGCTCGACTTCGAGTCGATAGTCGGGGTCGTAATAAGGACTATGTAAACATATGACAACAAATAGATAACTATAATTAAATACATAAGTACATCTATATATATATATATATATATATATATATATAAGTATATATAAGTGTATATAGTTATAATATATCTATATATATATATATATGTATATATATATACATATATATATATATATTAGTCTATATATTTATATCCAACTGTTACAGAGTGGGGCAGCATCAGCTTCGGAGGCTTCTAGCGGATATGTTTGTCAAGACGGGGTGGTAGAAGTTGTTGTGGTGCTACGTTGGATGACAACAGTCATAAGACTACGTACCAGTCACTCTTGGTAATGACAGCAGTAAAAGTAATATTATCAAGAAGATCCACATACCCACTGGTCGGCCCCTGAATGGCAGGTCCTCGTCAACGCCGGCGAGGCGTTGTTGAGCGCAGTGGGAAGGGAGCTGAAGTGTCCCAAAATGGCCGGGGCGCCTGGTTTCCGGAGCTGGGGGTCGAGGGTGGCGGGCTGGCGATAAGGGGTCGGAATAGTGACTAGCAATATTCATTCCTTATTAAAGCCCCGATGTAGATACATATATATAAACCCCACAAGTGTCTTTAAATTATCAAGCGCCCCATATTCGGGTGTCGCCGCTGTCTTTGCGTAGGGGGTTGAGGCTGTAAGGTCTTAAGGTATAGAGCTTTCGTGGGAGGATTTCAAAAGTTGGTAAAGTGAATGGAAATTTGAGGTCAGCTTGTCACAGTCAAGAGACTGGAATTCGAGGAAATGGAGAGAGCGCAATCGCGTCTGTAAGAAACATAAGGGTAAACGCAAACTTTGCAAGCCTAAACGGGCATACGTCCGGCCAAACTGAAGATCGATCCTTCTTCATTTTACCCATGCAGTGATTCAGACGTTTGGCTCGCGGATGACCTCCGGTATGTCTGGGGTTGTGCAGCTGCAGCATATGCAGCCTGTCTATTGAACTACATCTGTGAACGGTGATACAGGTTTTGAACACAAGAGGCCAGGGATGGTGGAGTGATTGGTAGATATTGAGCCAGTCAAAGGAGGACTCGCTATCATAGCTATAGCAACCGGAACAACAGGGCTGGGGATAGTCGCAGGAGTATTGCAGGAATTTACTAGTACTGATTGTAGAACTAGGATGCATGTATACTCGAAGGGACACATCACAGTGGGAGCAATCAGCGTTGCGATGGAAATAACACTACGACATAAGTTCAGAGCAACTGTGCTGACCCCTAAAATTGGTTCTTGCTCCGAACACGGGATTCAGTCCCAGGTGCTCTTGCTGCAGAAGCTGCCCAAGCTGTTGGCTCGCCAGGCTGCGCGGCATCATTGCAGCACTGATTGCAGGGTGCTGCAGCATGTGCGTGCAAAGGCTGCGATACATCGCCAGAAGCCACGGCCGGTTCTTTGCACTTTCGGCTCAAGACGCGCAGAGGCACCAGTCAGTAGGTACCCTTCATCCTTGCATCAGGCGAGCCGGCATAGCTTGTCACCCGAGCCAAAATGAGACTGGCGAGAAGTTTGGCGGACCGCAAGTGTTCAGCCTCATGCTGCAAAGCACCCCCCTCCAGCTCCAGGGACCATGATGGTCTCCGAAGAGGAGCTCTCAAAGATGTCGAAGATGTCGGTGGCAGAGACAGCCCTGGAGCCGTTTCTCGGCGAACGCGCTGCGTTGTGTCCGAAGGTTGCCGAAAGGGAGTGTCAGGGGTTCTATGGACGTGGGTTCCAATGCTTCGGACTTCAACCCCACTGGAAGCACTCACCCGCCCACCCTGACCAATCAAAACGTCCAGACCACCGGAACCTACATGTGCCCACCCACCCGCCAATGCCTCCAAGACCAACACATGGACTGAGACTGACACCACCACCACCACCACCACCACCACCACCACCACCACCACCACCACCACCACCGCCACCGCCACCGCCACCACCGGCCCTAACCCGAAAGCCTAACACCCACTGGCTCGGGCAGTGTTGCCAAGGAAGGGACGATACAGCGTGGACCACCGAGCTCTGCTTTTTGGGCTGCGTGGCGGCGAGTTCAGCTGGCCCCGAATGCGAGCATTCAGGGTTACGATCAGGCTTGCTGTAGGGTTACGCGGTGACGACAAAGGTCTTGCCAACAGGTTGCAACAAGGGTTGCTATGAGGCTTTCTATGCGGATTACTGAAATTGCTGTCAGGGCTGCTACAAAATTAGCATAACTATGTGACTATACAGAAGTGTTAGTAGCAGGATGGTCATCACGTTTCTGCAGCAAGTCCTGCGGCAGGCTGGGGCACCCGAAATTATTGATGCAACATTCGCCCTTAACTCCGTGGATCCAACTTGTCCACCCGTGCTCAAACACGGCGAAAGTTTTCATCAAATTTCCCGCCCTGTTCGAAGAACCCATTGAAACGCAGCAGTGAGGTTAGTCAGGTCTCCTGTGTCATGCCCGCCACCTGTGTTGCAACCCTGCCAAGAGACAGTATTGTCGCAGACATGCCCCCACGAGGAGACGACAGCGTCCAAGACATGCCCCTGAGCCAAAAACAGCTCCCAGCGCCCGGAATCTGGCTTTCCCCAGGTCACGCTTTGGCCGGGGCGATGTCGTGAACACGAAGGGCAAGGCAAACTTGGTTTGTCGTCCTCCCGTGCCTGTCTGCATATCTGTCCGTCCCGTCGGTCTGTCCGTGCGTCCGTCCGTCCGTCTGTCTGTGTCTCTCTCTGTCTCTCTCTCTCTCTCTCCCTCCCTCTACTCCCCCTCCTCTCCCTCTTGTGCTGAACGGTCTTTCCAGAAATCGCACATGTACTCCCCGCCTCGTTGCGAGGCCGCAGCTATAGCTTATGCTGCCGCCGAGCAGGAAGAGCTCCAGCTGCAGAACGAGGCTAGCTCGCCTCCGTTCGTGGATTCGAGGGTTTTTCTCACCTTAGACATGGAGTTGACGGTTTCAGGAACACGCCGGGAGCCAAAGAGAGGTTTTCGTCGCCACACTTTCATGGTCCCAGTTTGCATGTGATGTTAGGAAAGATATGAGATGGAACGGTCCAGAGTGTGCAGTACCTTTCATGTACTTGATACCAGTTGATCGCAGGACGGCTTACCCCAAAAAATCAACTCAAGCGATTCGTTAGCAGGAGCTGGCCGAAAGGCTCTCCAGCAAAGTGGACCAGCTCAGAGAGATCAGCTTGAGTGCCTCGGCCGTTCGGGTTTGCTTTGGGTGTTGGGGTGCTCGGGTCTCATCCGAGACCGTGCACATCACGAAACTCGGCTAAGCCTGAACCCACTCAGCTGTGTTCGTGCCAAAACCCGAGGCATCGCCGAGGAGACCAAGGAGTCTACGAAGCAAACTGACGACATGAACAGGCGAGACCGTCCTTGTAGTCGAGTACATCGCATACAGTCTGAGAAGTGGTGGTAGCGGTGGTGGTGATGGTCGTCGTGGTGATTGTAGTAACTGCTGCTGCTGCTGCTGCCGCTGCAACACAACAGCAGTAGTGCAGCATAGTCGCTCAGCGGCGATGTCTGACAGGCAGTTTGATCGCGCTGGCGGCTGGCTGTCGCAAGCCAATGCCAAGCTGCAGGCGGGTGTTGTGGTTCAGTTTTCTTCGATGGGCTGTGGGAAGTGCCTGAACTGAGTCTGAACAGCCTCCGAACCCCTGGAGGCAAACACAGGGCCTTTGCAGTTTCCAAACCAAGACCCACATGCTGCCTGTAGATCAACTCCAAAGACCCAAAGGTGCCCAGCCTTCATCCCTGAGCCAGCACATGACGAGTGAACCTGACAATCCTTCATCTTCAACTAGCGCTGCATAAAATCTGGCCACCACGGATCCTCTATCCTTCCGCCACTAGAAGACGATGTTGACTACATGCCCCTCGGACATTTGACCGACCTTTCTCAGAAACCTCTCACACGTGGAAGTCGTGTCCTCACTCTGCAGCCCCGAAACCCGGCCCAACCATAATCTGAATTCTTGCTAAGGGATTCCGTTTTAACTGCCATAACTCCATAACAAGGAAACCATTTGATTTACTGCAGATCCTTATATGGTGGTAACTTCAATTAGACTCCTCAGCAAGAGCCCAGCAATGTGGGCCTTTGTGGTCCCGGGCGGGGAAGGTGATGGCCAAGAGCCCGGGGAGCCGCCATATGTGCACGCCGCTGCCTTGGGGGCCGGTATCCCACGATTCACAAGTGGGGGTTTCCGAAAATAGGGGATCCTAATATAGTACCCTAAATAGTAGGATCCTTATCATAAGGACCCCCAAATAAGGTAGCCCTAGTTTTCGGAAACTCCCAAGTCAGAATTCCTGTCAATTCCTGGTCCTAGTCTTGTTTACACTGCTCCAAGTCTGATTGGCATCTTCTTCGTCGCAAGTTTGTTTATTGGACGAGGGGGGTGAGTGCTAAGGGGGTTTAGTGTCGGGGTGAGTTGTCGGAGTTGAAAGATTAATGAGCATGATGGTGCAGTCTCCTCCTGCAGAAGGATGGTGCTGTTCGCCCTGGGACTACTCCTGCTGCCTGGCTGCACATTGGAACCTGGGGATACCTGGATTCGGAATCCCTGTAGCAGCAGGCACCAGCTCGACAGGGAGAGAATCAGAAATCCGCAACAAAGATCGAACTGAGGACAGCAGGTTGATACGCAAAGCCAAGCAGCTTTAAGCTTTGAATCCTAGGAGTGACCCTATGGCGTGCACCCACGCAAACTGCCCTGAACCCAAGTCCCGGTAAACCCTGCACCTGAGTCCTCGCCCACACCCCAGCTGGTGTGGACCTCATGCCCCAACGCCCCAGGCTGCTCTACGTCCTTGGTGCGGCGGGTCGCGGGAACTCAGCCATCTTCCTGGCACCCAGAAGCCACGCCCCCGAATTGTTTGACGTGTTGGGTGGCTGTATTTTTGTGTCGGGACTTCCTACTGCAACAGTATAACTTAGCAAGATCTTTAAAGCTGCTGAATAAACATAGAAGAAATAAGAAATTACAGAATCGAGGACGCTGGAAAGGTATTTGCTGCATCGGGCTTAGGGGCCGAACTGAGAGAAGGAATCTACATCGAACCCTTCAAGCCAAGAAGCGAGCTTCTTCGTCCCCCGAGCTCGCAACGTCGGATTCCCAAGTGAAATGCAGTCTCGGAGACCAAGGTCCCTAAATGGCCAAGTTGATCTTCCTTCTGGAGGCAGGCTGTCGAGTAGGAGCTATGAAGGGTCTCCCACGGTTTCGAGGTTTGAGACACGATGCATCGCTTCTCGTGGTTGAACTCGGGCTCGGGAGCTCTGGGCACAAACCCCTGCCAGGTCCCGCTGACGCAAGGCGGCTTGAAATATTCATGCCTCCAGCCTAGAAGCACAGCGTGCACAGTCGCCACTGGCCGAAGCCTTGCTTAGTGCATAGGCTGCGCAGTGGCGTGCTGCCCTCTGCCTCCATGTACAGCCGGAGGTTTGCAAGTTTTAGGCGGATCCCCGTCCCGACATGCTGACTTGTTGAATTGTTGTACGATTCAAGTAGTGCTCAGCCCAGAAAAGGAGTATCTAGGTGTATGCTGAACGGGACAGGATATCTTCTCGTGGATTCAGCCAACGAGGGGAGACGCTCGTACAGTCAGGCCCCCCTCATGTCGCCACGTGGCTCGCGCCTTTGCTTGGAGGGCTGTGACCCATCCAAAAAGAGGCCGAAGAGCAGTCGGGTGCTGCTGCCGTATCTTCCTTCTGTCACCGTGCGTCGTGGTGCTGGTGCTGGTGGTGGTGCTGGTGGTTGTTTCTGTTGCTGATGTTGCTGTTGCTATTGCTGATGCTGTTCCTGTTGTTGTTGTTGCTGCTGCTGCGGCTGCTGGTGTTATTGCTGTTCTTGCTGTTGCTGTTCTTGCTGTTGCCGTTCTTGCTGTTGCTGTGGTTGTTGTGGTTGTTGTGATTGGTGTGGTTGTGGTGGCTGTTGCGGTTGTGGTTGATACAGTACGCTGAGCGTGAACAGCGACGACGACGACTACGACGATAGGTGTGGACGACGGCAAGGATCAGGTGTAGAATTATTAGAAGAACTCGTAGTACAACTAGCAGCAAACATCGCAGTGCATCACTCAGGTGGTGGGGTTTTCTAGTACAGGTGGTGGTCGTCGTCGTTGTGGTGCTCGTTGTCATTGTAGTTCTTGCTGTTGTCGTTACAGTGGCAGTCTTGGTGACAGAAATGAAGAAGGCGCCGCGACCAGCATCAACAACGCATGACGGTGCTGCAGTTTTGGTAATCAGAATGCCTCGCCAGGCCTTGATGGTTGCCCTGTCGGATGTCACCCCAGAGCTGCTTGACCGACAGTGGCTCAGAACGCAGGTGCGATCCCTGAGCACCAGGCTGCAGTGATTGCGCGAGGAGTTTAGGGATCACAGATTAACACGGGCCCTAACAGCCCGAACATGCAATAACCCACAATCAATCAAACGACCCCACTCCTAAACCCAAGTTCCACACACACACACACACTTGCGGATGTTTGGTGCAGCTTTGCTCTCCATAGCTCCAACTTTGGCGATCCATCATCCTGGACAAGTAACACACATGCTTTTGTGTTGCTGCGCTTAAGGCTATGACCGTAATCGTTCTGCCACTGTAGTCTGTTTATCAAGTACTTTGATTGTGCCTGTTGCTGCATGGTCTTTGATGAACGTGAGCCTCGCGCAGCGGCTTGGCCCAAGCCCGGGATGAGTAGGTCTTCCCAAGCACTGCTTGGTTCCGTGCGACTCAGCTTGCAGAAGTCTGAAGCTTAAGCAGGTTTTTTCAAGAGTTCTCAATACTGTGAGGCTTGTCGACGTGTGGTTGACGACACATGGGTATGCAGAGAAAGCTCCCACCGGTAGCCTTGATAGTCATGCTACGACCGAAAGAGAAGAGAGGTAATGATATCGAGAAAGCGATGATGTTGGCATTGGTCGTCATGAGAACTTCCCCCTGATGCCTACGGCAGTCAGCACACATGACCGCGAGTGTCTTGGTGGTAATCGTGACAGTGATGCTTACAGAAAAAATGGAAGTTATGTTAAGTTAACGTTACTCTGCAGCATGATGGTAATACTGCCAGCGCCGTCGAGGCTGATTATCAGCCTTGACACTCACCACCCTTCGAACTGCAGGCATACTGCAGTCAGACTTGGCATCACTTGTCACATACGCAGAAGCATAAGGACGGAGATGACAACAGCCTGGACTGGAACATGCGACTTAATGTATGACGGTGGTGATGACCCTGGCCATGGAGCTGACGACGGTGACAACTATTATGATGATGGTGATACTGACGAGTATGATGATACGGGTGATGATGAAGGTGATATGCACAATGGTGGTGGTGGTGGTGCTGCTGCTGCTGGTGGTGGTGATGCTGAGAGTAGGATGATGTGGTGCATGATGCGGGTACTGATCGCAGGGTGCTAGTGCTGAGGCATGATCGTGATGGGGATGTGTTCTCTGCTGGTGCTGCTGCTGATGATGCTGACGATGCATGTTGTTCGTGAGGATTATGGTCATCATGGTGATCGTAATGTTGATGATTTTGATTCCGGCGATCATACAGTACTCTTGAAACAACAGCAGCAAGACCGACGGCAGCAGCAGCAGCAGCAGAAGCAGGGGCACCGTCAAAAGATGCCTTCAAACGAACGCCGGGCTAGTGATCATGTCGCTATGCAAGCATGCGCTGCTTGCAAGACGTACTAAGCACTTCCGTCCTCGCTCGAAACCATTCTAAACCGTGAGAGAGTCGGAGGTTTTCCGCTCGGACACGCTAATGGCGGTCGGCGACCAGGTGGGCCAGCAGAGCAGCCCTGGATCCAGAAGAGAGATCAAGTTGGCAAGAGAGCAATCCATGAAGGGCTGGAAGTCTTGCATTGACGATGCGAGTCTTCGCAAACCCAAGTCGGAGATGCATGAGTAGGTAGGTCGGTCTCCATTTCGAGGATGCAGAGTCAAGTCCGAAACCCGAGCACCCTGAACTCCTGGATCACAAACTCGTCCTTCATTCTCAGAAGCACTCTTTTGCTTCTTCTTTGGTAGGTGCTGCTCTTCCTGGTGTCTCTGTGGCAGGCAAGGGACGGCCAGGTTTCAGCCAACTGGTTTCGTTTGATTGACTTCTGCCCTAGAGAAAATGAAGTATAGAGGTTTAGCACAAGCATTCACGGGCGTGGTCTGTTGTTATGCAGAGAGAGACTGAAAGACTGTGTGCTGCTCAAGTAGCCAGTTCTCAGCTCAAGCAGCCCGCTGCATCTTTGTCAAATCCTTTTACAGGCGCTGCGCCTTTCCGCATCATGTTCCGGCTTGCCTTCGCCGTCCTCATCACCGTGGCCAGCTCTCGGCGAGCTGGTGAGATCAAAATGACGCTGGAGCCAGAGTGCCAAGCCGTGGATTCCACCAAGGAGTACTTCGATGGGCTGCGGGACAAGTACCAGATCCAGGAGTGCACGAAGAGGGACGTGTGCCTGCTGATGCGCCAGCTGGATGCCTACTTCTACACTCGTGCTCGGCAGGGGAAGCTGGTGACGTACGATTCGCCCCCGCAGAGGAGCTGGGTGCATGACGGGCGCTGCGAGAAGAACGCCCGCTCCATCAAGATGGCTCCCGTCACCAAGCTTCCTGCTTGCAAAGCCGCG